GCCTGCCCTCGCGTCGGGCGTGCCCCTCTACAGTGGAGTCGGGCATGTCCCCCCTACAGGGGGACGTGGACGAAGCATCAAAAAGACCCCCAACATGCTCAGGAATTGTCAAAAACATTGTCAAACGAATCGTCCCCAGACTGTTGTTTGACGATCTTTGGGTATTCCTCCTGTAGAGGGACAGGCCCGACTTGACTCCACAGGAGGCATGCTCAAGCATGTTCATGTTTTTGCTCCGTTTTTCCATTCGGGGAAAGAATGGTAGGGGGACGATTTTTGTTTTAGCATTCGAAGCCATTTGTGAGTGTTGTTCGCGTATTCCTTTCAATGTGTGGTGCAAGCTCCGCCTCTAGGAGGACATGCCCGACCTAAGCCTGCCCACTCTCGCTTTCCTCTTGGGCGCGCCGCCGAGTGAAGCAGGGCCGATGGCCGTCAGAGCGAGCTCCGCCAGCGCGCGCTTTGGCCGCCGAGGCCCTCGCCAACGGAGCGGCGGGGGGGGGGGGGCACAACATGGGGCGCGCGCTGCCGGTGGAGCCGAAAGGGGCACGCAGACACATTTACGCTGAGGGTCCGACCACAAGAAACCTGCCACCAGGAAATCAACCCTGAGACCCCAGGACGTCCATGACTCTTTGTCGTGGGAGCGTCACGCTTCGCATAGCAAAGCGATCGAAATCCAAGGACACCCAGGGCACCCTGGGGGCAAGCAGGGTGTTCCTTGGCATGGGTCTCCTCTTTATTCGCGCGCGCCCGGGAGCGGGGGCATGCAGGCCCACACGCTGAGCGCGCACACGCCCAGAGGCGCATCCACAGGGCCGAGAGGACGCGAGGTGCAGGAACACAGAGCTGGCAGGCCTCGGATCGGGAGCCTGGATCGGGTCGAACGGCGCGTCGGATCGGGCAATCGGGAGTCGCACCAGGATCAGATCGGCCGCGTCGGGATGCGCAGTGCCGTCCATGCTCGGGTCGGACGAAGGGTTGGGTATTGCTAGTTCCCCTGGCCCAAGGCGCCCCGAGAACTTCCCAGGAGCCTCACGAGGCCCAGAGGGCCCCAGGGGTTCAAAATGGCACGAGAAGCTGGGGGCAACTTGGGCCAGAGGCACCTTGGACAACCCCCGCATCGTCGAAGAAGAAAAACTGCATAAACACACACTTCCGACAGTCCGCGCGGGTCTTCTTGGATCTACGCCGGAGCCCCCAGGCGGCGCCTCGGGCACCGCCCCTAGCGCGCTCCGGCACCTGTAGCAGCCCCTGGCCTGAGGGCCCGATACAGCCGGATCTAGGCCAGAAAAGAACATCCCCCAAGAGTGTGAGACCCTCTTTCGGCCAGAACAAATAGAGCATCCAAGGGTACCCTCGTCAGGAGGCACAAGGACATCCAACAAAAACACGAAGAGCTTTAGAGCACCCTCCCCGAACCGACCTCGATCTCGTACCTCGGTCCGACTGCATCTCGAACCGCAACCGCCGGACCGCATCCGGGAGGGCCCCGAGGGAGCAGCGGAAAAGGCCGCACGGCGGGGAGGAGGCTCGGGGGAGAAGCCGGAGCAGCAGCAGGAGCGATGCGGCACAGTCAGCCCGCACCTGCCAATCGGAGCAACAGCGGGAACAGGAGCCGGAGCAGCAGCAGGACCAGGACCAATCGGAGCCGAGTCTGCGTTCTCTCACAGATTACCAGACGATGGCGCACGCCAGTGCGATCTAGAGGCGGAACGTCGAGGACCTACAGTCAACACCAATCATGAGGACGCACGATACAAGGATGCAAGGGCCTTGGAGGGCCAGGTCGACACCCTGCGAGCGGGGCGCGGCCAGCGGCAGCGGCCAAGGACGGGCCGAAGGGGAAGGCTAAAAGCAAAACCCTTGGGAAGGTTGCCCATCCTCACTGTGCGGGTTGACTGTACTACAGTTTCGGGATGCGGGACTACGCAGCGCTAAAGAAAGAGCGGAGCCTCCTCTGGGCGCCGGAAGCGCCTGATGGCACGAGGGGCGCTAACGAGGATCAGCCGCGGAGCGACCTGCCGAACATCGAGCCCAGTCCGAACGCGAAGCAATCCTTACAGCAACGTCTTGACTGGATTGTATTGCCCAGGCCACCTACTTTCGCGCATCGCGCCCCGCGACGCGCGAACATCCTCGCACCTCAGCGCCGCCACGCCCCCGAAAACGGGGCAAGCGCTCCTTAGACGCGCCCCCGCGCGGTATCAACTCCGCGCCTCCGCGCGTGACCCGGACTGCGGAGTTCGCTCTCGCTGGTGTGTTGCCGTTCTCCCATGTAGGGTCCGAGCATATGGAGATCGGCGGCTCTCGCCGCATCGTCGGTGCATCTCCGATGCATCATCGATAGGTCGGCGATGCATCGGTGACGTCCGCACGGCGACGAAAAGGCTCACATCGAACCGCATCGCCGATGCATCGGCGATGAGGCCTAGACTCACGGGTCGGTACGATCAAAATTGGTATACTCGGGCGCTTTCAAATAGCACAGGCCAACATCGATTTGTGCTATTGCAATGGGTCGCTTTTGACGTATGGTACATCTTCGAACGCAATGGTTATTCGTATTTTCTGAACCCAATGTTTTGCTGTCTCGACTACTGTTGCTTTTTTGTCCTCCGGGGAGGTCGAGAGCAGCCCCTGTCCCGTCTCCTGTTTCGTGCTATATGCGCGCTGTGCTATCCTCGCCCCTCCCCCATGACTTGAGGGAGAGAAAGAGAGCTGGAGGGAGGAGGGTGGCCAGACGTGGAGGTAGAGGTGGATCAGCAGCAACAGGTACAGGAAACTGGGACATGCACACCATTGTTGACGGTGCCCCCAATCCTGCTGACCTGTGCAATGTTGGCCTCCTCGCCCTTGCACCGTGCACCCGTGCCGCGCCACTCTCGACTCGCGCGGCCATTCCTCGGATCACCCCCCTGCTCCCAGAGCGAAGGAGAGATGCAGTAGGAACTCGACAACAAAAATATTCCAACAAAAAACCCGACCCTGAGACCCCAGGACGCCCATTGATTTTTTGGCGTGGGAGCGCCATGCTTCCCATGGCCAAACAGTCGAAACCCGAAGAACCCAGGGCAGCCTGGGGGCAAGCAGGATGTTTCTTGGCATGGGTTCTCGCCTTCCTCCTCATCATACTCCTCATCATCATCATCCTCCTCTTCCTCCTCCTCCTCCTCCTCCTCCTAGCCCCTTTCCATCGAACCTCCTCGTTCAGGGGCGATGCCCCAAATCCTTCTGCCCTGTGCTATGTTGGTCCCGCGTGTCTCATCCCTCTCCCTCCTCGTCCTCCTCCTCCTCTCCCTCGTCCCTCTCCTCCTCCTCCTCCTCCTCCTCCTCCTCCTCCTCCTGTTCCTCCTAGCCCCTTTCTATCGAACCTCTTCTTTTAGGGGCGATGCCCCCAATCCTGCTGACCTGTGCTATGATGGTCCCGCGTGTCTCCTCCTCTCTCCTTGTCCTTATCCTCCTCATCCTCCTCCTCCTCCTCATCATCATCATCAGCATCAGCATAATCAGCATAATCAGCATAATCAGCATAATCAGCATCAGCAGCATCAGCATCAGCAGCATCATCATCATCATCATCATCATCCTCCTCCTCCTCCTCCTCCTCCTCCTCCTCCTCCTCCTCCTCCTCCTCCTCCTCCTCCTCCTCCTCCTCCTCCTCCTCCTCCTCCTCCTCCTCCTCCTCCTCCTCCTCCTCCTCCTCCTCCTCCTCCTCCTCCTCCTCCTCTCCTCCTCCTCCTCCTCCTCCTCCTCCTCCTCCTCCTCCTCCTCCTCCTCCTCCTCCTCCTCCTCCTCCTCACTCCTCACTCCTCACTCCTCCTCCTCCTCCTCCTCCTCCTCCTCCTCCTCCTCCTCCTCCTCCTCCTCCTCCTCCTCCTCCTCCTCCTCACTCCTCACTCCTCCTCCTCCTCCTCCTCCTCCTCCTCCTCCTCCTCCTCCTCTTCCTCCTCCTCCTCCTCCTCCTAGCCCCTTTCCATCGAACCTCTTCTTTCAGGGACGATGCCGATGCCCCCAATCCTGCTGACCTGTGCTGTGTTGGTCCCGCGTGTCTCCTCCTCTCCCTCCTCGTCCTTCTCCTCCTCCTCCATCTCCTCTTCCTCTCGACTGCTGCCATCAGCGTGGCTCCTTGCCCTCGTCAGAATTGCCTGGGGACCAGCGTTCGATGTGATGTGGGCAAAAGGTGTCTCCTCCTCCTCCTTCTCCTCCCCGTCTCCCCTCTGTCCCTCCCCACCTCCCTCCCTCCCCCTCCCGCCTCCCTCCCCCCTCCTGACTTGGTGTCGGCGGAACGGCTCACATAGCACGCGGCTCACGTAGCACACGTCAGGGGAGCCCCCCTCTCTCGCCGCCGGTGCTACCTTCACCGACAGAGTCGTGAAGATTCGCGCGAAACGGGAGTAACATAGCACAAACCACCCTCGATAAAACACGTTCTCGATCCAAAGCATGGAAAATATTCTAAGAGGCCAACATCGATTGCCTGATTTCTGCCAATGTCGTCGTGCTACTCGTGAACGACTGATAAAATGCAAACCACGGGTACAAAGACCGACACCGTTTCCTGTTCATTCTGAGCAGGACTCGCTTTCGGCGGGCGTCGCTGCGGACGTTGACGGCCGCCTGCCAAACAATAGCCGCTGTCGGTTTTGGAAAAACATTGCTCGTTGGGCATCGCCCTCATTTGTCCGTACCCATTCCGGGCGTCAAAAACAAATTCTCGGGAGCGGCCAAGAGGGGGGTGTCCAAGAGGGGGGGTTGCAAATCATGACCGGCGGCATGTGCACGGCCCAGCGGGGGGGCCAGGGACGCAATGAAATAAGAAGAGGCGCCATGAAATCTGGGAAAATATCATGGCCCCCGCCATGATATCCACACCCCCCAGTCATCACCCCCTTCTTGGCCGCCCCCGAGATTCATGCCCGGTGCAGCGCATGAAGCGGCAAGGCCGGGGACCGGAGCGCGACCGATCTCCCCCGCCATCCGACGGCGGGGCCCCCGCCCGCCTTGGGCTCCGACCTCTCGTACCTCGTGGGCTTCCTGGCGGTGGGCGGCAACGGTTCTGTGGCAACCCATGGGAGCCTCCCACGTCATCTTGCTGACTCTTGCAAATCGACGCTGAGCGACACTGGTCGACGCTGAACGACGCTGAATCGCCTCCAATCGAAGCCTGAACTGCGTTCTCTCACAGATTACCAGACGCTATCGCACGCCAGTGCGATCTAGAGGTGGAACGTCGAGGATCTACAATCAACACCAATCATGAGGACGCGCTACACACGGAAGCAACGGCCTTGGAGGGACAGGTCGGCACTCTGCGAGCGGGGCGCGGCCAGGAGCGACAAAAGCGCCTGATGGCACGATGGGGCGCTAACAAAGAACAGCCACGGAGTGGCCTACGGAACCATCGAGCCCATTCCGAACCCGAAGCAATCCTCACAGCACTGCCAAGGCTGGGCAGAAGGAGAAGGAAGCAAAGGCAGACTTGGAAAGTCGCTCATGCTTAACATGCGGGTTGACTGCACGAGGCTCCCATGGGAGTCGCTGCCGAGGAAATCGGGGGCGCGGAGAAGGAGCCGAGGGGGTGCCGCCGGGTGCGGGAGCCTTGCTGGGCCTCCTGGGGGCTGGAACACCAAAAAGGTGGCTCGGCCACCCCCAGAAGCCGCTTGCCGCCACGAGCGATATATACACAGACGCCCTCACATGAACTTTGCATGTGCCTTCAGAGAGGGCGGCAATGTAGGAAGTCGCTGGCTCTCAGTGTTGATCTATACACCGCCACCCTCCACTGAGTCCCAAGGACAATCCATTGGAAGGTGTCTGTGTAGATCTGCTTCCCGAGGACGTTTCACTAGCACAGAAACGTAGTTAGCCATCTTCGAGCACCAAGCCCTGTTTCACACTGATCCCTGAAAATACCTCACAAGCGCTGACAAGTGCTTCACGGCCAGCCCAAGAAAACGTCTCACAAAGACCGACACAAGCGCCACGCACACAAAATATACAAGCTTCGGAACACAGCATCAATTGACCCATAAACCTTGTCGCAATCACCGAACAATGGTTTAGAATCACCGGCAGAAAAAAACGATCACCACCATCGAACAGCTGTTCACAACCACCCCCTGTGTTGTCCGCAATCACGGGTGATCTGTTCACATTCACCTTGAAAAAACGCCCCACAATTACAACAAAGAACCGAAAAGTGCTACCATCCTCGGCATCTGATGATTCATGTCCTGTGCCTGCCATGCGGAGCCAGATCAATTGTCCACCTCCTCCTTAGCTTCATCCTCCGCCTCCACGTCCGCGCCCACGAGCAGAGCGGTGCACAGAGGAGCGCAACGTCCTGGCGGAAGAAGATGTGGCCTGGGATGTGCAGCCAAACACAAGACGACCGGCAAGCAGTACGGCGAAAGTGGCGCAGAATGGGGCAGCCAACGAATGAAGCAAGACCATAAGTATCGTTCGAGGTGCGGTGCGCAGTGCGCAAGCGCGCGTGCGCATGCGGGCTTGCATGCAAGCGCGCGTGCGTTCGTCTGAAGAGCGAGGTGGCCACGCAGCAAGAATGAGTGTTACGCCAGGGGTAAAGGGTCCGAAGCGAGGAGGTGGAGTAGACTCGCTCCCACCTATGCAGGTTGGCGCACAAAATGTCCTGTCTGCAGGTTGCTCTCTCTCTCTCTCTCTGTCTCTCTTGTGGCTCGCTGTCGATGCAACTCGAGAGGAATTGGAAGCTAGGAAGCGGCTCACGAAAAATGTTGGCCGTCCACATGGCGCGCCGAATCGCACGCAAAGCGGACATACTGCATCTCCCTCACATGGCGATATTGGGCGGTAGTGGTCGCTTCGGGTCGCAATTTGAGCGCTATTCGGCGCTACTGAGCGCTATTTGGCACTGTGTGGCGCTATTGAGCGCCAGGTGGAGAGTGTCCAATTGAAGACAAGCGGAAGCTTCCACGAGCTACTGTCCATGCGTGAAGGGGGGAAAGGTGAGGGGTGCACGGAGAGAGCGGGGGAGAGAGCGGAGGAGCGTGGGAGGGGGACGAGGCCCCCCGGGGATGGCCGATCCGTGATATCTGTTTTGTCTTGTACCCTCTGGCGCGCAACGGTCGCTGCCCTAGCCAATCCCCCGCCCCCCCGGGGCAAGGACCGTACTCGAGGTGAGGTTCCCCCCCACCCCGTGCCTCGCCATGGCTCGGACGTCCATTCCCCGTGCTTTTTGTCGGCTTCGTGTGTGGTTTTTTCGCCAAATGATCAAGGATGCTCCTCGATGGTCCTCGCCGAAGAAAAAAGGCACACGTCCGAGCGATGCCAAGGTGCTCGCGCGCACGGTGCTGTAGCGATCGCAGCGCACCCCCCCGCCTGGACGTGCCCCAGCCCGCCCAAGGCGGCGAGCGAGGGGGGGAAGCGAGAAGGTTGAGCAAGGACCGACCGTCACGCCAGTCCTACAGGCCTACCACGACATGTTCTCAGAACCCAGAACTGCTCCAAGAGCAAAACGATGTTCTTAAAGGTACATGAGCCCGATGTGTTCAAACGAGACGGTCCCAGCCAGAGATGTTCTAAGAACAGTTCGTGAAAACCCAGAACATGGTTTGGTAGGCCCACAGGCGCGCCAGGACGCTTCGACACTGCTTGAGGAGGAGAGGGCCCTCCCAGAAGGCGGCGGGACCGCTCGGAAGCCCTCCGGCCGTCTGACAACAACTGCGGTGTCTTCGGGGAGGGCTTGGACAAAGGCGGGGAAGTCGGGAAGACGTCCGCGCCTTCTGAGAAGGCCTCCTCCTTCAGGGCCCAAAGAATATATACACACCACCCCCACGTCGATTCCTCCTCTCTCCTCTTTCCAGCGAGAGGGAGAGGTGGGGAGGGAAGTGGTGGTGGTGGTGTGTATGTTTGGGCCCCCCATCCTTCCCACTTCCCACACTCGCTCGCCGCCGAGTAACCCGGGGCCCCAGCACCCACCCCGGCCGGGCATCGACCGTGACAAGGCAGCAGCATCAAGGTCGTCAGCGTTCGCCTCGCAGAAAGCGTGTGGCGCGCGAATTCCCCACCTCTTTCTTGATTCTGCGGGAGAGCACCTGTCAGGGTCGACACTCCAGTCGACGTGGGTGCAAAGTGAAAACCTGATCGGAGAAGCACTGGAAGTGCCGATTTGGTCTACTGGGCTCGTAGGGGGAAAAGGAGGACAGGATGATGGCGACGTCCTCCTTCTCTCCGGGAGGCGCAGGGCTCGAGCATCGAGGAACCAAGGTGGCCCCACGGGGCCATCGGCAAATGGGAGGGACCTGGCTTGAAAACTGGGCCCGAGCAGGAGGCCACATGCGAAACCTACCCCTACCCCCCCACGAACGATTTCATTTCTGAGGTGGGGGGGTCCACTTCGCTCGTGGACCCCGCCCTCCCCCTCGAAAATCGCGGAGGGGGGATGGTAGGGTTCGCATGCGGCCTCCTGCTCGGGCCCCCAACCCCTTCTGCGGGCCGCGCCCAGAGCACGAGAGGTCGAGCCCGCGCCGCTCCCCCCTCGCGGGGAGTACGTGAGGCTCGAGCACGTGCAGCCCCACCGCGTCGGGCCCAACTATGGGCGGGTTGGTCGAGGAGGGGCGCGCCAAGGCTCGAGCACACGTGGAACCCAACCCCAGTCGGTACCTACAGGCGGGGTCGTGGGCTCGAGCCACATCGGCGACGCACCAGATGGATCGGCGGTGTGTGACAGGGCTAGGGGGCCACATGCGAAGCCTACCCCTACCCCCCACGATTTCTGAGGGTGAGGGTGGGGTTCACTTCGCCCTCAGAAAGTGGGCCTCCCCCTTCATTTCTGAGCGAAGTGAAACCCACTCTCCCCGTCAGAAATCGTGGGGGTAGGGGTAGGGTTCGCATGTGGCCCCCTAAGGGCGGAGGATATCGGGGTCCCGATGCCGTAAGATCGGCGATGTTCATCGGCGATGCGGCGCGATCCACCGACCCCATCCACTCGGGCCCCATTGGGGCGGCCTGGGAACTTGGGGGCTCGAGATGGTCTCACGGCACCGTCGGACAGGTGAAGTGACCACGTCTCCAACTTGACGCGAGCCCTCGGTGCAAACATCTCAGTGACACTGGACCATCACAACTCATGTCAGAACCGTCAGAAGCGTGTCTGAAGGGGCCCTGGAACACACAAATAAATACACACAAATAAAAGGATTCCCCATATTTTCCCATATGTCCTGGGTTTCTGTCTTCCCCCCCACTTCCCATGTTTTTGACATATTTTCATGGGAATCGCCGATTGATTGTGTCTGTGTGTTTCATTCCCTCCCGAGTGTCGGCAAACCCGAGTCCAGACAAACTCGAATCTTAAGCATATACTGGGTCCGCAGCCCCAGGCCTCCCCAGGGGTGCGCCCTGGCCAGAAGCTCGAGGCGAATCCAGCGCTGGCAACGAGGAAGCCTTCTGGGCCAAACGCCGCGAAACATCGGACCAAAGAAGCCGAGAAGCCTCCCGGCCACGAAAAAGCCTGCTGGCCTGGTCCGAGAAGCGCCTCATGGCCCAATGCCTGGACAATAGCACACTGCTCCTCCCTTCTCCTCCGCCATCGTCTTCTTGGTTCGCGGCGTGGGCCAGCCCGGGACGCTGGCCCCTTCTTCAAGGCAGGCTCTGCATCATGAATCGTGTCTTGACAGCCTCGGGGCTGGGAAGCGGCCTCCGGAGGCCAACGCATTGCAGTTCTCGGGGGAGGAGGTGGGGGAAGCGGCCCCAGCGGCTCCAGAACCCAGGTGAGGCAGAGGGGGCTGGCTGATCCCTGGTGGCGCTGACCCACGCGACGTCCGCCCCGATCTTCGTTCTTGATCCGACGCCCGGCTCTGATGATCCTCCAAGAACCAACACGGCGTGAGTCTGAAAAAACCTCCACACACCTCCACCTCATCCACATCCAAGGACCACCACATCCTCCACCTCATCCAGCTCCCAGAACCAACACATTCTCCACCTCATCCACCTCCAAGAACCAACACGGCCTGAATCTGAAGGCAACCATTGGCCCCTTGACGGCCTCGAGGCCGGGAAGCGACCTCCAGAGGCCATAAAACGGCCGTGCTCGTTCCTGCTGCGGCGCCCAGATCGGATGATCCTGCTTGGATCACCGCTAGGGTTGCTGAGGGGATGTGGGGTGTCTAAGATGTGGGTTGTATCCAACCTGACCTATCTTACAAGTGGGATTTAATTGCCCTGCGCGGCTTACGTGGGACAACGTTCTGGGCTGAGTGGGCGGAGCCCACTTAGCAGAGTTACCTACCCTGTTGAGCCATGTCGGGAACGTGTAGCCCGATGATTCACGAGGTGAAGACAGGTCTGACCCACACGAGTATCACTCCTGATCCCCCGATCCCCTCCGCAACCTTCGCGGTGACCCAACCGAACCCCGACCTCGGGCGCCTCCACGGGCAAACGGCGGCCGAGGGGCGCACCGCGGCGTCTCCTCTGGAGTCCTTCGCCTCATCCCTGCTGTCCTTGCCCTTGGGCTTGCGGTCCTGCTCCGGAGAGGAAGGGCGACACCAGGGCGGGGAGGGCGGGGTGGGGGGAGGAAATCGAGACTCGAGGATCGAGATTCGAGGAAGGAGGATCGAGGTTCGAGATTCGGGATTGAGGAGGGGGATCGAGATTCGGGGCTCGAGACTGCTGGACGTGTCTTCCAAACCTTTGGCCTCCGTGACAGGGCATCCCGGCGCCGAGGCTTGGGCTACCCTCGAGCATTCTGGCCAGATCGCACCCCTGCTACTTTGGAGTGAGAGGAACTGTCGGAGTACTGAAACGATGTACACCATATAATCACAATTAATGGGATATGAATCGCACTAATAATAAAGATAAAACTAGATAAAAAGACAGAGTACGAATAATCATACTCATAATCATAAAACAGCATGGAGGCACGCAGAGTTCACGACTGCCACAATCTCTCGCGGGGTCACGGGCCTACGCGGCCTTCTAAGAGCTATTATGTGAGCTCGCAGTATGGAAATAACACCGCGCAGCTGTTTACGATTTTGAGCTCAGCGGCCAGCCGAAGCTGGTGAAAACCAGGATGGCACTGGGAAGGGCCTAGGTAGATCCCACAAGGCAGGAACTGCTCCAGGAGAAAGGGAGCGTCCTGTGAACGGAGACGGTGTTCGTCGAGGAACAAAAAATGCCAAAACCATAAGCCCCCACCAGGCCGAAAGCAGGCCATGTGGAAGAACTGCTGCAGGAGAACGGGAGGGGCCTGAGAACGGAGAAGGGGCTTGCCGAGGAACCACAGATACCATAACCGTAAGCCCCCATCAGGCCAAAGGCAGGCCATGCGGAGGAACTGCTGCAGGAGAAAGGGCGGGGAACGGAGAGGAGGGGCTTGCCGAGGAGCCAACCATGCCGCAACCGTAGAAACCTCCGGAACTCCGCATGGACTTCCTGGACCTGCGCCGCGGGCCCCCCTTCCTGGCTGCGCTTCCAGCGCAACGCCCGGCGAGCTCCGCGCGCCCAGGGGGGGGGGGGATCCAGCGCGGATCCGAGAAAGGCCGCGCGGACCTCTGGAACTGCGTGTTTATGTAATGTTCTGCTCCTCGGGTTAGCGTCAAGTCGGGCACGTCCCTCTGCAGGAGAAGTACTCAAACATAGCCAGACAACATAACGAGGACGATGCTTCTAGCATGTGTTGCTTAGTTGTTGAATCTGCTGGCTAACTTATGATTTGTCGTCCCAAGTTCCCGTGTAGAGGGACAGGCACGACTTGACCTTCGCGGGAACGGACAGAACTGTGACGAGCAGGGGGGAGGCGACCGCCCTGGGTAACCAGTTCGGACGGCAGTTCGACAGCCTTGTCGCAGTGCGGCAGGACCAACCACTCTCCAAATGCCCGTCGGACGGATCTGCCCATGCCCGCTGGATTGCTCGGCGGGGCGGGGGAAGGATGAAGAGGGCTTCGTGGGGGTGTTGGCGGCGCGAAAAGGGGTGTAGGGGGAGGGGGGAAGGCATCTCAGAAGCACCCTGCTTCTTAGAAGGCCCCAGCCTTTCGTCTGTAGACACGGCCCGCGCCCTCTAAGCAGCAGGGGTGCTTCTCAGAAGCCTCCCCCCCTCTCCCCACCCCCCTCTTCGCGTGGCCGAGGGTGAGGAAGTGGCAAGGCAGGACGGGCAAGTCCCACAGGGTTGGGGTGGCCCTCGTGGGGAGCCCACAAAGGACGTACGCGCCCAACTATGTACATGAACACGGCCCCTTGACCCGCGAGACCGGCCGCGCGATACGCGTACTCGCGCAATGCGAAATCTCGAAACCAGCGTGGCTTCATGTACGTGTACGGCCTTCTTTCACTCCTGACCTCGGGGGTCCAGCGAAGGCGGAGGAGGGAGAGCGATGGAGGGGGAGCCCGCTGGAAAAAAACTCCCCCCGACGGTGCCCCAGCGCGCTCCGAGGCCCTCGCCCTGGGGGGACGCCCCCGGCACACCTGGCGCCAAGGGGCCCCCCGGCCTCGCGCGCACTGCGCTGCGCGAGGGCGCGAAGTGCGCAGCACTCCGCGCCCTCGCGCCGCCTCCCAGGGGAGAGCAAGCGGAGGAGGAGGACTCTCGGGTCGGGCGAAAGGGGGGGATAGCAAAGGGGGGGTGGTGAGAATCAGCTCACGTAGCTGATCTTCCCGGCGCCTCCCGGCGCCGGAGGCGGCCATGTCTCGAGGAATGGGCCCCTCGGTGACGCCGAAACCAGCTGCATGCAGCAAATTTCGTAACCGCCCCTTTCCCTATCCCCCCCCTTCGTCCAGCCCGAATGACTCGGAGCCGAACCACGGAGCGCGCAGCACGACCGCCTGCGCGCCCTCGAAAGGGCGCCCCTGCAGCGCAGGAGATATCCCGATCGGCCCCGGCACGAGGTCCGTCCAGCTCGCCCCGCGGAGGCCCGAGAGTCCCCGCACGCTCCACCCGAAGGAGCCAGCGGCGGGAAGATCAAGGCCGGTTCCGCTGCCCTTCCCAGATGCTTTGCTTTGTAAGTGAAAGGGCCCCAGGACACACAAATAAATACGCACAAGTAAAAATGTTCCCCATGTTTTCCCATCTGTGGGTTTTTACCTAACAGCGAAGACTGATAGGTTTCTAGTAGGGTCAAACGAGAACATCATGACGCCCCAAGGGGGTCTGGGCGCAATCCGGGGGAGGGTGCCGGGAACTTTTTTTAGCCAACAATTAAACACTTCGTGGTCTTCAAGGTTCCAGAACTCCATTCCCGGGCCACATTCTGAATGCCCGGAGCCAACTGTAGGCCACTTCGTGGTCTTCGAATTCCCAGAACTCCATTCCCGGGCCACATTTTGAATGCCCGGAGCCAACTCTAGGCCACTTCGTGCTCTTCGAGTTCCCAAAACTCCATTCCCGGGCCACATTTTGAATGCCCGGAGCCAACTCTAGGCCACTTCGTGCTCTTCGAGTTCCCAGAACTCCATTCCCGGGCCACATTTTCATGCCGGGAGCCAACTGTAGGCCACTTCGTGGTCTTCGAGTTCCCAGAACTCCATTCCTGGGCATGCTTTTGAATGCTGAGGCAGGCTGAGGCTGAGGCTGAGGCAGGCTGAGGCCGAGGCAGGCTGAGGCTGAAGCCGAGGCTGAAGGCAGACTGAGTCTGAGGCTGAAGGCAGACTGAGGCTGAGGCTGAGGCAGGCTGAGGCTGAGGCTGAGGCAGGCTGATGCTGAGGCCGGCTGAGGCTGAGGCTGAAGCCGATGCAGGCTGAGGCTGAGGCACGCTGAGGATGAGGCCGAGGCTGAAGGCAGGCTGAGGCTGAGGCTGAAGCAGGCTGAGGCTGAGGCTGAGGCTGAGGCAGGCTGAGGCTGAGGCTGAGGCAGACTGATGCAGAGGCAGGCTGAGGCAGGCTGAGGCAGGCTGAGGCTGAGGCTGAGGCTGATGCAGGCTGAGGCTGAGGCAGGCTGAGGCTGAGGCCGAGGCTAAAGGCAGACTGAAGCTGAGGCTGAGGCAGGCTGAGGCTGAGGCTGAGGCTGAGGCTGAGGAAGAGGCAGGCTGAGGCTGAGGCTGAGGCAGGCTGATGCTGAGGCAGGCTGAGGCTGAGGCTGAGGCTGATGCAGGCTGAGGCTGAGGCAGGCTGAGGCTGAGGCCGAGGCTGAAGGCAGACTGAGGCTGAGGCTGAAGCAGGCTGAGGCTGAGGCTGAGGCTGAGGCAGGCTGAGGCTGAGGCTGAGGCAGGCTGAGGCTGAGGCAGGCTGAGGCTGAGGCTGAGGCTGATGCAGGCTGAGGCTGAGGCAGGCTGAGGCTGAGGCCGAGGCTGAAGGCAGACTGAGGCTGAGGCTGAAGCAGGCTGAGGCTGAGGCTGAGGCAGGCTGAGGCTGAGGCTGAGGCAGGCTGAGGCTGAGGCTGAGGCTGAGGCTGAGGCTGAGGCAGGCTGAGGCTGAGGCTGAGGCTGAGGCTGAGGCAGGCTGAGGCTGAGGCAGGCTGAGGCAGGAGGGCTGAAGGCTGAAGGCTGAGGCAGGCTGAGGCTGAGGCTGAGGCTGAGGCAGGCTGAGGCTGAGGCTGCTGAGGCTGAGGCTGAGGCTGAGGCTGAGGCTGAGGCTGAGGCTGAGGCTGAGGCTGAGGCTGAGGCTGAGAGGCTGAGGCTGAGGCTGAGGCTGAGGCTGAGGCTGAAGCTGAGGCTGAGGCTGAGGCTGAGGCTGAGGCTGAGGCTGAGGCTGAGGCTGAGGCTGAGGCTGAGGCTGAGGCTGAGGCTGAGGCTGAGGCCGAGGCTGAGGCAGACTGAGGCTGAGGCTGAAGCTGAGGCTGAGGCTGAGGCTGAGGCAGGCTGAGGCTGAGGCTGAGGCAGGCTGATGCTGAGGCAGGCTGAGGCTGAGGCTGAGGCTGATGCAGGGTGAGGCTGAGGCAGGCTGAGGCTGAGGCAGAGGCTGAAGGCAGACTGATGTTGAGGCTGAAGCAGGCTGAGGCTGAGGCTGAGGCAGGCTGATGCTGAGGCAGGCTGAGGCTGAGGCAGGCTGAGGCTGAGGCTGAGGCTGAGGCTGTGACTGCGACTGCCGTTGCCACTGCGACTGCCATCGCGAATGCGACTACGACTGCGAGAACAGCAGAATTCTACAACAGGATTATCACCTAAATCTTAAGGAGAATGTTTCCATATATACTCCTACACATCGCTGTTAGGTTGCGTTGCCTGGATAATTTTTGTCTTCCCCCCAACTTCCCATATTTCCTCATATTTTCGGGTGAATCGACGATTGCTTGTGTCTGTGCGTGTTTTTCCCCTCCTGAGTAAGGGCCCCCGAGGGGGGGCGATATGTCCCTCGTGGCTACGGCTGCATCCGCGCCAGAATCCTGGTCGGAACACCCTTCGAGAGGTCAAGGGAGTCCTGGCGGTACATGCATCCTGCGCCCCCTGCCGATCCTTCCAAACATTCCGCCCCGGGGGAAGACTCGGAGCCAACCTGGGCACCGACCCTGTTTGGGGCTCCTTCCCTGGGAACCCTAGTTTGAACGGGGCTGGGAAGCCCAGCCAACAGCTTCGCCTCAGGCGACGCCAAGCTCCACCTCGGCTGTATCGTAGTAGCGATAGTCCCAATGCAAGAGGGGATGCCATGTCAAGTAAAAGGAGCTGCCTTTTAGTATCAATAGCGATAGTGTGCCTCGCGGTGAGGCACAGTCAAATCTGGGCGGCCAGCCGCTTGAGCCAAAGCGACCGCGGGCGCACGCTCGCTTCCACGCCTTACGTCCCCCAGCTCGCTTTAGAGTGCCCTTGGGGAGGCCCGCAGCCCTAGGGAGCTCCGACCTCGGAATCTTCGCCTTGCGAAGTGCACAGCCGGCGCGGGCGCTGCAGGCGGGCGCCGTGGCGGCAGGGCGAGAAGCACGAGTGGCGGCGGTGTCTGCGCCGGTCGGCGGCGGCAGCCCAGGGCGGTGCTGCAGGAGGAGGGGGAAGGGCGCACGAGGGTGTGGAGGGACGCACGACAGGCGAGGACGAGAGGCGAGGCCGAGGGAGAGGGGAGGGAGGGACGAGGGACAAGAGAGATGACGAAAGATGAGTGAACGAGAGAAGCCGAACAGAATTACGAACAGGAGTACAACACAAACTATTGACAGATTTGCCCTGAAGCGTTCCCCAAACGTCGGGTCCGGCATCGTTAAGCCAATCTCGTTCAGCACAACTTGTTTCAGGTAGGATCGACTATCGCAAAACATCAGGCCATCACGTCTTGGGGTGACCAGAGTGTCGGAAATCATCAGAATCGAAACCCGCCTCCAGATTCCACGATAACGCCCATGCCATCCAACTTCTGTTGGCTGCCATAAGAACCATACGAACCCATTGACACTTCTTGCGTCATTGACTTGATACCCAATCTGCCATACTCAATCGTGCAAAGACCTAGTCTGCTTCCTTTCTTGCTCTGCGGACTCGTCGCGCTCGTGTACTGTCTGGTCTGGGATCTGCTCGTCGTTGGTCGATGCAACCGAGTTGCCAGTGATATCCGACAAGCTGTCGCGGTGGTCACCTCTTGCGTTACGCCGTCGTGGCATCTGCAAAATCATGTGCAACATTTGCCTCTGTACCCTGAGCAACCGGTCGTTGTCCAGGCTTCACAACCACACAATACCTTGGGCGCACCTGTTCCGTGATATAGCCGCATACTGCTGATGTGCCAATACTTGTCCAATCAAATCTTCTCGTGGTGCACTGAACTTTCGCCAGTATGCGAACATTCGAATGTCGAATTCTGTTGCGTGGAAATCGCTGACTTGAAACTTCCGTCACGCAGATGCTATCGACTGAAAAGTAGGAAGAGTTTCTGTCGACATGGTATTTGCAACCGCATGGCTTGCTACTTTGCGCCTTCGTGACCTCGAGTGCCCTTTATGCAGAACCTCTGATTTGTCCAGGTGTAGTGGAAGACTAGTTGACGCAGCTTCACCACGTCAGGTCACATATTATGCTCATGAGTAGCCCAGTGGCAGCACGCAGCCCAGGCACCCTCGGGCTCCTGCGCCCGAGGCACGCGCACAAGCAATCAGCTGGACGGTGTGCCGACCACGGGGCCCGACACCAATTGGCACCCAACGGAGGGCGCCCGTAATCACTCAGAGGTAGACCACGAATGCTCTCACTGAGGGGCATGAGGAAAGGTCATGGAGGCCTCGCGCGGCATCTGGAGACCCTGTCTGCGTCGGATTTACGTCGGATTTGCGTCGAATCATCGCCGCGCGAACGTCGTCCCATGTCTTCCGGATTGGACGCGTAGACTCGATAATACAACAATTGCGTGCCGCTTCAAGAACTTGCCTCATAGCAGGTGGGTTTTCAGCAGAGGGCGACAAACCTTTGTAATAGCGACGAGGGCCCCAACAAAACAAGTTGCACAAAAGAGAAGCAGGGAGACGATTGGCAGCAAGAACAATGCTTCCTCTGTCGGGGTTTCAGCTCATGCGGAAACAGCGGGAAATGAGGGGAGCGATACTGCGGCAACGAGAGAAGCTGGCCGAGCGCGCTGAGTGAGCGCGTCCTTGGACGCTAGTCTCGCATCCTCGAAGGCCTCGAAGACCTAGGGCGATGACATGCAGATCAAAACCTCATCGTATTTCTCTTTCTCGGGCGGGTCGTGACGGGGGCAGTAACTGAACGGGGGGGGGCGAACTCGGAAGCGGCCCTGACATGAAACTCCCCAATTGGTTTCCCCGTGGCCGTCCGCCCATCCTTCTCCCACAGTCTCTCCTGCTCCCCTACTTGATTGAGCAGGGAACGACCGTCCCGACATTGCTATAGTCCTACCACGAAATGTTCTTAGACCTCAGAAATATTCGAATAACAAAAACAATGTTCTTAGAACATAAGCCCGATGTGTTAAAACAAGACAGTCCCAGCCAGAAATGTTCTAAGAACATTTCGTGGGAATCACAAAAGGTTCTTAGAACATTGTTTGGTGGAGCTATAGGCGAGCTGGGACGCTTCGCCACTGCTTGACCTACAACTCCTAGCGCTGCTGCTCCTGCTGACACTGATGCTGCGCTTCCCCGCCTCCCTGCTCACCCCCGATCTGCTTCCTGGCGCGTGCGCCCTGCGGACTCCTGCAGGCTGCTCTGGGCTGGCCCAGGACCGCTCCACGAGCTCCGAGCCTGCTGCGAGGCGTCCCGAAACACCGGTGTGGGCGTTTTCCTGTTCGGCGTTTCGACATTGGGCGAAAGGGGGGGGGAAGGGGGGGGGTCCAGCTCGGGACGACCTCTGCCGAATGCCACTGTTTGCACCAACGCGTCCTATGGGGGAAGCTCCACCGGCTTGAAACGGGCGCCAGAAAAATGAATGATCTACTCCAGGGGGTGGGGAGGGGGTCATGTTGCTCCCATCGTCGAGGCCCGCACCGATCGGCAAAACAATGAATATCGAAGAAAGAAAAAACGACACAGACATAAAGACAAACTTTTCGCGCTCCACGCGGATTCCTTGGATCCGCGCTTGGCCCCCCAGCGGCGCCTCCAGCGCCGCCCCTGGCGCGCCCCGAGGGCGGCCCAGCGCAGATCCAAGAAATCTGCGTGGAGCGCGAGAAGTTTATGTTTATGTTGCTTTTTTTTCAGAATAAGAAATCACGATGGCCCTCGGGAGGCCCAGACGAGTCCCCGAGAAGCCCCGAGCCCGACGACGCAGACTTGCTCGCGACGTGGGCCCGCCGGGATCTCCGCACCCTTATAAAAGGGCCCAGGGACACACAAATGAATGCAGTGAAATCCCAAGGTTCGCCAGATTCTCACATATCTTCTGGGTTTTCGACTTCCAACCCACTCCCCACATTGTCCCACACTTTTCCTGGGGATCGACGATCAATGGTGTATGTTTTTTTCTCCTCCTGGACTCCTGGATTGGTCTGTGTTTTTTTCTCCTCCTGGATCTTCCTGGGGACCTCTCACCCCCACTCGTTTATGACGGCCCCAGGGCCCCTGGAACAAATACGCCCGCAGACATGGGGAGACGAGACCAAAAGGTACCGATACCGCTACTCCCCAGGCCTCTCCCGGGGTGCGTTCTGACCAGAATTTCGATGCGAATCCAACGGTGGCGACGAGGGCCTCCGAGGAGGCCCAAAAAAGGGGAAAACGGGTAAGGGTACCTTTTTCTCCTCTGAAGGTCCGTCGACGCAATCTGCAATTCGGCTCAAACTGGAGTGCGCATCGCATCTGGCGCCGTCGGCACAACGTCGAAATCAAATCGGATCGGCCGCGCCAGGATCCACAACGGCACCACGCGAGCAGCGCCGCATCGGGCCGGATGTCAAATCTGATCGATCAGCTTGAAGTGGCCCTGGCAAGATGGTCGGACGTGGGACTCGAGCTTGCGTGAGAAGAGCCTGCCTGACGGACCGTCGGAAGTCCGCGCGGAGCTCAGAGGAATCAGGTGCTTGCGCTTTGGGTGCCTTGAGATATCGAATAGGATCGATCGGGTACCAGCACTGCTACCAATCCAAAACCGCCTCTCCCCAGACCTCTCCCAAGCTGTGCTTTCCCCTGGATGTCGAAGCGAATCGAGCCGAGGCGACCAACAAACACGAGCACGAGGCAAGGGCCGCGGGCTACATGGAATATGTATCCCATGCCTGCTCCGAGAAGCGGGCCTGGCCCTTTGGTGTCCGTTCCATGGGAACTTGCGTGGCCCCCGGCGCTGTCCGATTCGGGCCTGATTTGGAGCAAGTTTGGACCGGATTTGGACCAGACTTGCGGGGACGAGAAGAACGAGGAGGAGGGGAAACAGCAGGGGAGAGGAGGAGCAGGAGGATGCGCCAAATGCAGACCCTAGGCGGTCCAAATGCAGGAAAAGCTGAATTCAGTGTCGCCGCCCAAAGCTCCCATGAACAGACATCGAATGGCCCTGATGCCCTCAAGAACGCCGGAGCTCTGCTCTGGCGGAGGGGCTTGGATTCGACACAGATTGAGCTGGGAGCCTGTCAGCAGAGGCCGGCGCGCAGCTCGCAGAGTATCGGCGAGCTAACAAATCTGCTGGGGCACCAAGGCTGAAGTCAGGCAGGCCGTCAGTACCAGTTGGGTCATAGAAGGGACGACGGGAGGAGGGACGAGAGGACAACGAGCGGGGAGGCGATGGCCACTGGCAGCTCGGAAGCAGTCCAGCAGCCGATCGCAGCGCGGTGGGGCCCATCACCCTCCGAGGCCCGCTGGGTGAGCCTGAACCTCAAGCCCGCAGGATGGCTCCGCGGTGAGGGGCGCCGAAATCGCCAGGGTGCACGAGGAGGGCTGGATGGACAGCCATGGAAGGACGCCCGTCCGAACCCAAACGGCTCCGTCTGTCAGCGTCTTGGCTGCATCGAGTCGGGCCGATCGCATCGACGCGGGCCCTGCCCTGGCCCGGCCCTGATCTCCTTCTGCCCTGACCCGACAGCGCCGCCGTCGTCGTCCTCCTCCTCCTCCTCTTCCTCCTCCTCCTCCTCCTCCTCCTCCTCCTCCTCCTCCTCCTCCTCCTCGGGGGCAAGCCAACATGGATGAACGATACATGGATTTGGCGCCCCAAAATGCGGCCGGTACCGCCTCGTTCGGCGGCGGATATCCGCGATTCCCCAGGGAAACGGGACCCGTCGCTAATCCACACCACCTTGATCCCCATGCTGCTCCTCTCCTCCTCCTCCTCCTCCTCCTCCTCCTCCTCCTCCTCCTCCTCCTCCTCCACTCCTCCTCTCTCCTCCTCCTCCTCCTCCTCCTCCTCCTCCTCCTCCTCCTCCTCCTCTTCCTCCTCCTCCTTCTCTTCCTCCTCCTCCTCCTCCTCTTCTCCTCCTCCCCATATCTGCCCGATGCCAGCTCCACCAGCGGCGGGCCTTCGCCGCGGCCGCGGCCGCGCGGTCCTTGTCGGTGCTCCTCCGCATCACCTGCGGGCCCCGCGCGCCCGCCGTCCGCGTCCGCCCGAGGCACCCGCCCGGAGGAGACGAGGCCGCGAGGCGCGGATGGATTCCGTATCCACCGCCTGGGAACCTCCCCCCCTCCTTTCCCTCCCCCTCCCCCCCTCCTTTCCCCTCCCCCCCCTGGCCAGTGCTTTGCCGTCCACCCTCGCGCTACGCCGGCATGCCCAGCACGGCGATGCCCGAGCGCTTGCGCGCTCCTGCCCTGCATTTTTCCGGATCACGTGCGTTGTCATTTGGCTTGCCAATGCGCCGTCTGGGCGCGGCTTCTTTCTTTCTTTTTTCTTACCGCCTGGGAACCGACGTCCTGGTGCCCCAGGGGGTGCGGTTATATTTTGGCCCCTCGGGGGCCCGAATATGTCCATATCCACCGCCTGCCGAGGCTGCGAGAACTGACCCCCCAGGCGGTGGTCATGTACAAATTCCCGCCTCGGAGAGGCCAGGACGAGGACGGCAGCCAGCAGGCGCCCCGAGCGTCGAATCGGGAAGTCGGATCGGCGATCGGCATGAATCGGATCGGCGGACATCGGCAGCCGAGTCGGGAAGAGTCGAATCGGCGGACATCGGCAGGCTGGTAGGCCTCCAGTACGAGATCGGAGCCCAAAATTGGAATCCGAAGTGGAATCGAATCGGAATCGGAAGCCGTCAAAATCGGATCGAATCGTATCGGAGGAATCGAACTGAGTCCTGATCAGGCGAGGATATATCGAGACTCTCTGAGACCTGGGCCATCTATGGGCGGCGGGGCGCGGTTACGCCCAGCACCGGGTTTGTGCGGTCACACCAGTGCGGGGGGGTGCGGCCCGGGGGGCGTGTCGGAGTGCGATGGGGGGTGTAAGGTTCAAGGGGGGGCTGATTGGGTGCTGGCATCGTGTGGGGCGGCGTTGGGAAAGTGGTACGGGGGGGGGGGCCTCTGGGAGACTGTGAAGGGGCCCCAGGACACACAAATAAATACACACAAATAAAAAGGTTCCCCATATTTTCACATATGTTCTAGGTTTCTGTCTTGCCCCCCACTTCCCATATTTTCTAGGGAATCGAGGATTCATTGTGTCTGTGTGTTTTTTCCTCTCCTGAGAGCGTTACGGGGGGGGGGCCTCTTTGGAGAGTGGTACGGGGGGGCACTGACCGTTCCAGAGCGCTGGACGTCGTCTCGAGAGCGCTCTGGCACGGATTTTCTATCCACGGATTCTATTCTCTCGGCCCTGCCCCGCCCGACCAGGCGTCCGGCGCGTCTGCAGAATTCAGCACGAGATGGCCTGCGGCGGTGCTCGGCGTCCCGGGGCCCTCCCTTCGGCTACACGCAAGAGTGACCCTGGGCAAGAGTGACCTTTGGTGCGCGGCTTTTGGGGGGCCGCGGGGGGACCAGCCTCAGGCGCGCAAGACGCTACTATCGCATCGCAATCGGTGATCGGGGGGCCCCATTGTGCCCGCACCAAAGGTCACTCCGGCGAAAGGTCACTCTTACGTGTAGTCGATCCCTGAGCCCCGGGGCCGCCAAGAGCCTGTCCCAGACGAGATGCCAATCACCAGAAGTGGCCCAGAGCTCAGGGGGCCCCGCAGGGAAGAGGACCGAGAAATCGGAGGTCCACCGTCCGTCTGCGCAGAAGGCACACATTGAACCCCAAGATCACGCTGATTTCGGGGGCGGCAAAGAGGGGGGTGTCCAAGAGGGGGGGGTGCAAATCATGACCGGCGGCATGTGCGCGGCCCCGCGGGGGGGCCAGGGACGTAATGAAATAAGAAGAGGCGCCATGAAATCTGGGGAAATATCATGGCCCACGCCATGATATCCACCCCCCCCTAGTCATCACCCCCCTCTTTTCCGCCCCCGATGATTCACGCTCGGACAAAGCCGGGGCGACGACGAAATCGGAACATAAAGAGGATCGGGCGCCGCGGCCGTTCCAGACGTTCTGGAGCGCTCTGGGATCGTTCTGGAACGCTCTTCAGCGATGCATCCAGATCACAACACTGCCTGACACGCCACCCCCCTTTCCACCCTGATCTACTTGTTATTTGTAGGGAGCCCAGAAAAGACGTACGCGCCCAAGTATGTACATGAGCACGACCCCTCGATCCGCGAGACCGGCCGTATGGTACGAACGTTCGCGCAATGCGTACTCTGGATAATCACGTGGATTCATGTATGTGTACGTCCTTCTTTCGCTCCTAAATCCCACCAGCCCTCTGGGCGTCGGTGGTTTAGGGCGTTTCCTCTTCCACCCCTCCCTCTTCCTCTTCGGGGAGGGGTTTACCCCTCCCCCTAACCCCCTCCCCACTGACCTGGACAGGAGGGGCGGGGAGCGGTCAGAGCGTCCAAAACAGCCTCGGCGAGGAAGCCAAAATCATTGATTTTAGCAGGGTGTTGGCCCCATTTTGGCCTCCTGGGGGGGCAACGCTAATTAAAGCTCAGCTCTTCTTTGATAGATCTCCTCCAAGATGGCACAAAGAAGCGCCCAGGAGGCCCCAAGAGGTCCCAAGATGGCCCCAAGATGGCCCCAAGAGGCCCCCAAGAGGCCCCCAGAAGGCCCCCAAGAAGACCCTCAGAGGCCCCAAGAGGCCCCCCCCCCGAGGCACCCAAGACCCCGAAGAGCCCCCCAGGATCGCCAAGAGACCCCCAAGACGTCCCAAGAGGCCCCCAAGAATCGCCCAAGAGATACTCCAAGAGGCTCCTAGAGGCATCCAAGAGACCTCTGGCCCTTGTGCTTGCCCTCCTCCTCCTCCTCCTGTTCCTCCTTCCTGCTCCTACTCCTTCTCTTCCTCCTCCTCCTCCTCCTCCTCCGCCTCCTCCTCATCCTATTCATCCTCCGTCTTCCCACTCCCTCATCCATCCATCCATCCACCTCCTCCTTCTCCTCCTCACTCCTTTGCACGGTTCGGCCGTCCTCCTCTTTGCTGCCGCACTTCCCTGATCACCTCAACTCGCCTGGACATCGTTTCGGGATGGGCTGGTGGGGATAAGCGAAGCGTCTAGAATTTGATGATACCACGTAACTGGGAGTAAGCAATTTTGGATCCGGATCCAGAAGGGGTCGAGGGGAAGCGACGGGGCTGCTTATGAGGGTGCTCATTTCGGACGGGCCTAGCGGACTGTGATTAGCAAAACCTCCCACAATTTACCCATGGTGCTCCTTACATGTTCATGTGGTTCCCCCTCATCTGTAACACACGTATACCTATATACACAGATATGTACACATCACAAAAATGCGTATGCGTGCAACTATCTGCGATGCAAATAATGCTGAAACATCGAATCATATCTGATTTCAACATACCATGTTCCGTGTATGGCCCTGCCATGTAGTTCATTGCCACTTGAAGAATACGCTCCCCAAATGAACCCAAATCGCTGATCCCCATGTTTTCTGAGAAGGGGTTTCTGAAGCGACCTGGTCGCTTCAGACGTTCGGCGCTGCAGAACCTACCCACGAGGCCCCCAATATCCGATATCGCCGCAACGTGGCGCAGGAGGCCTCCAAGAAGGGACCTCCGACAACCCGACCCAGACATGCGACGTCCTGATGTTGTTCAGTGCGGCCCCCCGAAATCCAGAACCGCTCCCCGGAGCCAGCTTTCCATCCTGCGTCGTTTCGTTGACGGACCTGGGAGCCGGCGAGGGCCCCTGGGGACGAGAATGAGCAAACACTTCTTTGGTCGGCGGGGCGAGAGCGAACCTCTTCCGCTAAAAGCTAGGCGGGCTACGCACAGCTTTAATCAGGGAGACAAGGCGCGGGCGGGCGGGGTCTCAGGCGGGAGAATGAGGAACCACGCGCCGTCCTGAGTTCTGTTCGACGCGATCATGTCTGGGAAGAGGACCCCGGGTCGGCCAGAGAGGCCCCAAGAAGACGGCCCAAAGGCGGGCCAAGAGAGGCCCCAGAGAGGGGGAACAACAACCGACCGTCCGAGCCCCCCGCCCCAAGACGACCTGCGAGACGGCCTGCACACCTCCCCCCCAAATGCAAAAAACCTCCAGGAGGCGCCCAGGAGGAGGAGGAGGAGGAGGAGGAGGAGGAGGAGGAGGAGGAGGAGGAGGAGGAGGGGGAGGAGGAGGAGGAGGAGAAGCCCAAATCAGGCTCCAAGAGGCCCCTGACAGACCCCACACAACATACCGAGACCGCCTCCAAGAGGCCTCTGACCTTCGATCAAATTGCGGTGGCGGATAGGGCCGCAGGCAACTACATCCGCCGCCCCCGATTGGCTTGCCACAAGGGTTCCTGGCGTGCTTGACCCTAGACGGGATGGTTTTGGTTCTTTTCCAAATGAACTCTTCCTAAGGCTTCGGGTCCGAACTCTCCCTGGGGCTTCGACCCGTCCCGCCGGCCACCCGAAAGGCCGCACAAGGGACACCAATTTCCTGAAACATTCTCCCAAGACGGCTCGCGATGGCTTTGAAGATCACCAAGTTGGCCAAAACGTCTTCCAAGATGCTTCCAAGACGGCATAGATGGCCTCCAAGACAGCTAAGTTGGTCCCAAGATGTCTCCAAGACGGCCCATGATGCATCCACGACGGCATCATATTGTCTCAAGATGGCCCAAGACGGTCAAAGGGACTCCCAAGAGGCCTCCAAGACGGCCCAAGAGGCCTCCAGGAGGTCCTCCAAAAGGCCCGAAGAGGACTTTCGGGTGTTGCTAGAAGTGCCCCTGGCCCAAGGTACCCCCAGGATTTCCAGGGATCACCCCACGGCCTCCAAAGCACCCCTCACAAGGCCCAGAGGGCCCCAGGGGCAGGCCTCCTAGATGAGGTCCGAGTATATGGGGTCGAAGGATCGCGCCGCATCGCCAACGCATCGCCAATGCATAGGCGATGCATCGTCGACGTGGGCGATGCATTGGCGACGTCGACGTGAAGCAAATCGGGCTCCACATCGAGCCGCATCGTCCACGCATCGGCGATTCAGCGCATTCCTCCGACCCCATCGACTCGGACCTTCTCTAGGAGGCTTGGAAAAACTGAACGACAATCTGGGGGGCACATAGGGCCAGGGGCACCTTCAGCAACCCTGGGGCCTTTTCGGTTCCGGCGTACTCGAGTCTCACGCTTCACCGACATGGGCCCACTTCGGACGGCCCCCCCGGCGCCGCCCCCGGCCGTGGCCTGGACCGGCTTGAAGGCCAGCGCGCTGCGGCCCGCGGGCGGGGAGGGCCCGGGCGCGGAGTCGTCCCGCGCCTGAGTGGGGGAGGAAAGGCGGCGGCGCGCCTGGGCATGTTGCGATGGGACGCGGAAGGACATAATCCCATGCCCCAGGCAATTACAGGGTAGTCGTAGTAGTAGTAGTAGTAGTAGTAGTAGTAGTAGTAGTAGTAGTAATAATAGTAGTAGTAGTAGTAGTAGTAGTAGTAGTAGTAGAATAGTAGTAGTAGGTAGTAGTAAAGAAGGTAGAGTAAGTAAGTAGTAGTAGTAGTAGTAGTATTAGGAGTAGTAGTAGTAAGTAGTAGTAGTTAGGTAGTATTAGTTGTAGTAGTAAAAAGTAGTAGTAGTAGTAGTAGTTAGTAGAAAGTAGTAGTATTATCGTAGTCTAGTCAAAGTAGTAGGTCGTAGTAAGTAGTAGTATTAGAATATATAGTAGTAGGTAAGTAGTTGTAGTAGTAGTAGTAGTAGTAGTAGTAGTGAGTATTATAGTAGTGGTAATAGAAATAGTTACTGTACTGGTAGAAACATAAGTGTATTTAGTATTAGCATCAGTAATAGTAGTAGTCGAAGTAGTATTAAGGAAAGTAGTAGTAGTTTAGTAGTTATCAGTAGTAGTAGTATAGTTGTAGTTGTTGTGGTTTTGTATTTTGTCGCAATAGTAAGTAGTATACAGTAGTGTAGCAGTAGTAGTAGTATAGTAGAAGTAGTAGAAGGAGTAGTAGTAGTAGTAGTAGTAATAGTAGTAAGTAGCAGCAGTAGCAGTAAGTAGTAATTAGTAGTAAGTATGTTGGTAGTAATAGTAGTAGTAGTAGTAAGTAGTAGCAATAGTTAGTAGTAATAGTAGTAGTAGTATTAACAGTAGTATATAGTAGTAGTAGTAGTAGTAGTGGTAGTAGTAGAAGTAGTAGCCGTAGTAGTAGTAGTAGTAGTAGAGTAGTAGTAGTAGTAGTAGTAGTGGGTAGTAGGTAGTAGGTAGTAGGTAGTAGGTAGTAGGTAGTAGGTAGGTAGGTAGGTAGGTAGGTAGGTAGGTAGGTAGGTAGGTAGGTAGGTAGGTAGGTCGTAGTAGTAGTAGTAGTAGTAGTAGTAGTAGTAGTAGTAGTAGTAGTAGTAGTAGTAGTAATAGTAGTAGTGGTGGTGGTGGTAGTAGTAGTAGTAGTAGTAGTCGTGAAAATAGTCGTAGCAGTCGTAGTAGTAGCAGCAGTGGTGTTAGTAATTAGTAATAATTGTGGTAGTAATAATGGAAGTAGTAGTAGTCGTCGTCGCCGTCGTCGTCCCAACAGCCCTTTGGGCGACAGGTGGTCTAACGAGATTCCTCTTCCCTCTTCAAAGAAAACCATTTTTCCCCTACTGGGAAGGGTTGCCCCCTCCCCTTACCTCTCCCCTGGACTTTATGTTGGGGGCCCCGCGAGGTGTCAAAACGTCCAAAACGGCATCGGTGAGATAGCCAAATTCACTGCTTTTACTCAGGTGTTGGCCCCAGTTTGGCCTCTTCGGGGGGGGGGGGGGGCGAACGTTACCCCACCAGCCCTCTGGGCGCCAAAACCCCAAAACCATCGATTTTACTCAGATGTTTGCCCCATTTTGGCCTCTTCGAGGGGAGGGCTGAACGTTATCCTACCAGCCCTCTGGGCTCCCAAATCACTGGTGTTACTGAAGTGTTGGCTCCATTTTTTTTTTCTGGGAGCGGGGACGAACGTTATCCCAGCTTCTCCTTTGATCGATAGCCTTCAAGATGCCCTCAGGAGGCCGTCCAGGGCTCCCAAGAGGGCCTCAAAAGAGCCCCAAAAGGGCCCCAAGACAGCCCCCAAACGGCCCCAGGGGCCTCCAAGACGCCCAAGGTGGCCTCCAAGACGGCCAACATGGCCCCAAGATGCCTCCCAAATGGCCCAAGATTCACCCAAGATGGCCTTGAGATGGCCTCGAGATGGCCTATAAGACGGCCCAAGAAGCCCCCAACCGGCCTCCAAAACAACCCAAGATGCCTCCAAGAGGTCCCCCAGGAGGGCCCGAAGAGGCCAAACTCATTGATTTGCCATGGGTGTTTGAAAGATTGTGGCATGTGCTTCTTCTCGGCATTCCGATGGCTCAAGACGGCCCAGGAGGCCCCCAAGATCGCCCACGAGGCCTCCAAGATGGCCCCATGACGGCCCAAGAGGCCCCCAAGACTGCCCCAAGAGGGCCCAATAGGCTTCCAAGACGACCGAAATGGCCTCCAAGCCGGCCAACATGGCCTCATGATGCCTGCAAGACAACCCATGATGCACCCAAGACTGCCTGAGATGGCCTCGAAATGGCTTAGTAAGAAGGCCCAAGAAGCCCCCAAGAGGCCTCCAAAACGACCCAAGAGGTCTCCAAGAGGTCCTCCACGAGGTTCCGAAGAGGCCAAAATCACTGGTGCTCCCAACTTTTTTTCTCCCCCAAAAGATTGTGGCATTTGCTTCTTCTCTGCATTCCGACGGCTCAAGACGGCCCAAAAGGCCCCCATGACGGCCCCAAGAGGAGCCCCAAAACGGCCCAAGAGGTCTCCAAGACACCCAGGATGGCCTCCAAGAACCATTTACGTGCCCCAAGAGGGCCCCAAAGCGACCCAGACAGGCCCCCAAGACGGCTTCCGACGGCGCCAAACAAACCAGGAACGCCATAAAACGGCCAAGTCGGCCCCCCAAAAACCTTCCAAAGGCCACCCAAAACCCTCCAAGAGGCCCCCAGGAAGCTCTCAGGAAGGCCCAGGAGTGCCCCAAGAGGCACGGTGTTCAAGCTGTACGCGCCCGGGGAAAACCAATGGGAGGGGCACTGGATGCTGGATGACAACCTCACGTGGGCCGACCTGCCCGAATTCAACTGGTGCGACCTCTGCGCGCAGGTGGCGTGGGGACTGAACCACCCCGAGTGGGCGGGCTACAGCGAGAAGACCAAGAACAGGCTCAAGCGCCAGAGAATCGTGGAGGCCACGACCGCCGTGCTGAACTACGAGCGGCGCCACAACCTGGAAGTGGCAGCCGTGCTTGCGGGGGGGGAGCCGGGGACGCCCCGGGTGCTACCTCTGCTGGCGGGGGACGGTGGCGCCGATGCGAAGGAGGAGCGCCCGCCGCCTCCGCCCACACCTGCGGCGCTGACCAACGTGGAGGTGTTGCCGCCGCCGCCTGCCGGCCCTCCGTCAGACATCGAGTCCGAGCTGTTCGGCCCCACGGTGGAGGGCAGCGAGTGGGGCGGGGCGGTCCGTGCGCTACCATCTCAGGTTCTCCCAGGCAAGACCGAATGGCTCTGAGGCCTCCAGCCCCGGTGTGAGTGAGTAGCTGCCCGCCTGCTCAGGTTCTGGGCACCGCCTCGGCGCCGCGCCAACTTTAGTAGCCATTTTGGCGCACCAACTCGCGGCCCGCTGGGGTTCTACCTGTGCCTCCCTTGCGTGCCCCCACGCTATTCAGTGGAGCTGGGGCCGCCCCGAGGGCTGCTGGTTTGATGCCACGCGCCCGCTTTGCCCTCGGTGCTTCAACTAAGAGACCAGCCATTCTGGCTTGCCCCATCCTGTGTCTCGCTGTAGGCCCTTGTCACCTGGTGCCTCTAGTGCTGCAGGGGTCGGGCGGTACTGGGGTCGCCCCGCGTGCTGCGCCTCCCGCTGGCAGTAGGTTTGCTTTGGGTCAGGTCTGCCTCGGCGCGCCTTGGCAACCTCACTGCAGCGTCGTCGGACCGCGGTTCGCGCTCCGCCTTGTTTTGCACCGCGCGCAGGTGCCTGCTTGATTGTCGGGTGATGAAGCAACCACAGGACGCTCGCCCCAACGTGGTCGAGCCGTGGTGATGTGGCGCCCGAGACCGCAAGTAACAGTAGTAGCAGTAGTAGTAGCACTAGTCCGTCGATCTGGCGTGTGAGTTTCAAGGAGTCTCAGCTACAGCCTCGAGGCTGAGCCTCAGCCTCTGGGGGGGTTGCCGGGGTGGCTGTGCCGGGGAAGGGGGGATGGGGGGGGGGGTGCGAGTTTCCGGCGGATGCGGGGCGCTGCTTTTACAGAAGGCTCTAATCTCGAGGATGCGCTGGAAGGGTGGCCGCGGCCGCAAAAGTCTCTGAGGACGGTCTACGAAAGTCCCGAGACCCCGAAGGATCGCCCGAACACGCCCAAGATGGCCCCAAGACGGCCCAGGAGCCTTCCACGACGTCTGAAGAGGCCTCCAAGAGGCCTCCCACGATGGCCCCCAGAGGCAAAAATCGTTGATTCCCATTGGTTTTTCAATGTTTTTGGGGTTGTCGCTTTTTTCTGCTTTCCGACGCTCCAAGACGGCCCAAGAGGCCCCCAAGACCGCTCGAAGACGGCCCAGGAGGCCCCCAGACAGTCCCAAGACGGCCCAAGAGGGCCCCAAGGCGGCCCAAGAGCCGCCCAAGACGGCCCAACAGGCCCCCAAGACGGCCCCAAGAGGACCCAAAAGAGGGACGAACAGCGGAAAAATTGTAGCCTTCCAGCCCACGAGGCCCCCAGGAGGCCCCAAGAGCCTCCAAGAGGGCCTCCGAAAGCCCCCAAGAAGCCACCACGACGCCCTGACAGGCTCCTAAGATGGCTCAAAAAACGCCCCAAGAGGGCGTCCTTGCGCCGATAGGCTCGCCTCCACCGCTCGCACCACATCGTCCACGCCACATGTTTCGTAACACGACGTCGTGCACGACGTATCGTGAGTTTCCAGAAAGTGATCGGCATCCTGTATGGAATTTTCATGTCATGACTATTTCCCGTCCCCACGGCCACTGCAAGCACCCCGCCGTTGATAGAACCACTGTTGCGAGATGGCTCTATTGACCCAACTGCATTCCTACGCCCTTTCGAAGGTAACCCGAGAAGTTTGTGCGTTTGAGTGTGCGCCCATAATGTCTGCGTCTGGAGAATAACACCGAGCGACCCGGATCGGCGGCACTGGCCAAAGGCCACTACAATAATGCGACTAGCAGTAGTAGTAGTACTAGTAGTAGTAGTAGTAGTAGTAGTAGTAGTAGTAGTAGTAGTAGTAGTAGTAGTAGTAGTAGTAGTAGTAGTAGTAGTAGTAGTAGTAGTAGT